AATGGGGAAGTTTGTTTGATAAAAGCACCAAACCAACTTTAAATGGCAGTGTTAAAACTGTGGGGGTTTTTTTAACCACAGTTGTCAGAAACTGAACTTTTAATGTTACTGTGCTCAGAAAGCAGGAATTGCAAGAAAATGTTGACCCCTGTGGACAAAAAGGAACCACATGTTAACCTGACTAACTGAGGGAAGGCCTGCATGGTGGCCTTACAAACTCATAGACCTAAAGTAACCCAAAGAATGGTCTGACATTAAAACCTTTTCATTAAAAAGCAGTTTATAGTGGGTTGTCCTGTCCTAGGCCAGTATCTTCCCTGACAGAAATCAACTTCAACCTTTACTGAGCCTATTGTCTTTTTGCATCTAAGATAACATGCTTGTGAAATGTCAAAGTAACTTGTAACTTCCCTTTTTCTGGACCCCTCAGGGCTTCCAGGCTAGATGACAGATTCCCTCATTATCATGTTAATTGTTGACTGTTAACTATGCTATACCCACCTGTGTAAAAGAAGCATGTGTCTATCATTTTACTTTTTATCCAATCCCAGAGGTCCCCCCGCACCTTTGCTTTCTCCCACCTTCCTAATCAATCACCAATGGATTTCAGGTAACCCACTTATGTCTCCTCCTTTGATTGTAATTTATGAAACAAGGTGAAAAACTGCCCTTCTGCAGAGCACTATCTCAATACCCTGAGATTCTGCTTCCGGCAATTGTCGACAGTTTGGCTCAAATAATCTCACAAAATTCTTTCTTTTTTACAAAATATACTTTTTTTTATTGATTTCAGAGAGGAAGGGAGAGGGAGAGATAGAAACATCAATGATGAGAGAGAATCATTGATTGGCTGCCTCCTGCACACCCCCTACTGGGGATCAAGCCCATAACCCGGGCATGTGCCCTTGGCCGGAATTGAACTTGGGGCCCTTCAGTCCGCAGGTAGACACTCTATCCACAGAGTCAAACCAGCTAGGGCAACTCATAAAAATTCTTTACAGGTTTGAATGTTGTTTTACGTTAACACCCCTAATTAAAACCTGAGACTAGAAGGATGGGAGAAATGCCCCTAAAAGGGAAAATATAACATGGATATGGCAGCACAGAACTTGTAAATATAATAGGTAAGTAATTTTGTGTCTATATCCAGTAGGAAGGTATCATTGTCCTCATTTTGAAAATGCAGGAAAAAGAAAAATGGATATTCATGAACCTTTCTATAAGTCAGCTTTTTCTACCATTGCATTACTTTCAGTAATTTCCTATTAATTTTTTTCTTTTCACTGTTATGCCCAGATTTCAAGATTCCCAAGAAACCAACAGGGAGCCAGCAGTCCGATGCAAAAGCATAAGAATCTGTATTTCAAGCTAGCTTGAGCTCCCATCCACCAGACTCACCGACACAATGACAAGCCAAGTGGCTGAGAGACAGAACCCCGCCTGGAGTCCGGTTATATAGGGGGGGTTGGAGTAAGGGGAGGAGAAAGGACTGTGCTTTGCCGATTGGCCAGGTGCAAGTCAATGTCTTGTTCCTGGGTGTGGCTAGCAGAGTCTTAACTTCCGGGAAGAAGCTCCTTGCCAAAACACGTGGCCAAGGTAAGATGGAGGACGTAGCCCCCACCCTGGGGCAAGATGGCCCTTACCCTGGGGGAAGGTGGAGGGCCTAGCCCTCGCCCTTTCATTCACATAATTTGCTTAAAGGCAGAGTGAATGTAGACTAAGTCAAAAGAAATATCCTTGGTTTTTAAAGTTGTGTGTGAAAGATGAATAATGATTGTAACCTCAGAGTCCTAGCTCTTTACTGTGTTTCTTATCCGATCTTCTGTTCTAAATTAAATGTATTTCTTAAGGTAGGGTCTTTGGATCTTCATTATTTATGTAGGCATCCACCTATCCATTCACTCATTCATTAAAATTTATCAAGTGTCTTTCTTTGTCAATCTCTGTGCCAGGTTTTAGGGATATCTGGTAATCTAAACCTACACAGTTGTCTCTGCCCTAAAATATCTTCTTCTGCCTAATGTCTTGCCTGGTTATTCTAAGAAAATTATCATAAACTCCATTGCCTTCTCACAACATGTATATGCAACTCATAAGGCATTTTCAGCATTCTGCCATAAAGGGGAATTTCTCTAAATAATATCCTCAGTCTGATTGATGTCAGAACCATATTGGGGAGAATTCTACTTAAATAAATGCTTCAAGCCCACAATTCCAATTTCTGTCCTTTTATTTGTCAAAGTTGCATCAGACAGAATTAAACAGTCATAGAAGGCTTTATTCAAGACTATTGCAATAGGGAAGAGAGACTGAGCTCAATTCCAATGAAATAAAAGGTAGGAGGATTTTTAGGCTCTGGTGTGGGCAAATGCAAAAGCACTGAAGGATAATAGGGGGAGGAGGTTAATCAGTGGGTTACCTTGAGCACTTTGACTTATCCCTGAGTTTACAAATGCATTTCTCTGTGATTAGGTGTTTGATTATTGGCACCCATTAAAGGGAGGCTCTTAACCTCCCACAGAGACTGAGAGATAAGAGTGCTGTGTTCTTTGAAATGTACATTTCAAAGGGATGGTTCTCATGTCCTTGAGAAAAACATTTCTTGTGTTGTAAAACTGACAAGAGTATGGGAGAAGACTTACATATATTTCAAAGGAACAGAGAAAGAATTGACAATTGCAAGTTTTCTAAAGTAAATTCAATAAGAAAGATGAGGTCAGGGGCCTATATTCAGGAAGAAATCTATCTGAAGTTCAATCAAAGCTAAGGGGAACATTGAGGCTGTCTTACTCATATTTCTTCAGTTGACTGTTATATATTCATGGAATCAGCAAGAAAATCAATACTGCCATTTCAATACAACATGGCAATATTTGGTGCCCAAATTATGTGTGAGCACTAAACAAGTTATTAGCCCTTGTCTTTTTACCACTTCTCAATCTTTTGAATCTTAAAATTCCCATGAGAAAGTAGAGGGAGAGTGAAGGGGGAGGGAAGGGACTGGGGAGAAGAGGGAGGCGGAGCATTATTTGTATGAAAATTTCCACAAAGAGAAATGTTAAAAACAGTTTTACAGCTGCCTTTACTTCATATAACTCTCCTGGTGAGATAAATATGAGCTTTTGTTCAAACAAACAGGTCAAACAACACCTATTGACAAACCAATAGGCAAGAACAAATTCTAATTTCTTTATCTAAAAGATTCTTTTTATGTTTTTCTTTTGCCCAGATCTTCTCCAAAGAAAGGGAAATATTACCTGGCATCTTTTTCTCCTACTTGAGTATGTTTTGTGATTAATGACAAGGGTCTCTAAAAGTTTATCCAAGTTCACTAACAAATTAAAGGACCATAATGAAAGGGCGAGGACTACGCCCTCCATCTTGCCCCAGGGTAAGGGCTACGCCCTCCATCTTACCCTGGATCCTCCATTTTTGGGCAGCCATGTGCTCGGCAAGGCTTCTTCCCCGAAGCCCAAGCCTCTGCTAGCCACACCCAGGACTTCTTTAAACTAACCAATGACAATCAAGGGAAGTGCTCACCATAGATATGACCACATCCTGTGTAACAAGACACCGACTTGCGCCTGGCCAATTGGCAGGGCCCACAGTCCTTTCTCCTCCCCTTACTCCAACCCCCTATAAAACCCCTCTTCCCACAGGGCTAGCCCTCTCTGCCACTTGCTGCTGTGTCAATAAGGAGGGTAGGGGAGCCAAGGCTCCCTGGTGTGGTTTCTTGGGGATCCTGAAATCTGGGCATAACATTAATTTTGCTTCAGAATTCAGTAGTTCAGCGCATTCTGAGGCGGTGGTTAGCATAGTTTTCAGTGCATTATAATCACATGGAGGGCACCACCAATGAGAGTTATTGATTCAGTAGGTCTGAACCCCAAGAATTTGCATTTCTACAAGTTCTCAGGTGTTGCAAAGACTGATGTTTCAGGAAACATAGCTTCCTCCTGGAAACTGTGCTAACTCTTTTTATATAAGGGTCAGCAAATGTTTTTGTTCATTTTTTTTTTGTTTTTTTAATTAAATTTTTATTGTTCAGATTATTATAGTTGTTCCTCTTTTTTCCCCCTATAGCTCCTCTCCACCCGTTCCCTGTTTATCCCTAACTCCAGGGAAAAATTTCCACCTGGGGAAACAACCTTTCTCGGAGAGGTGACCTTGGTTAAAACATATAGCGCTAAGTAGGGGAGCAAACATATTAAGAACAGTATGCCATATACGCCGGGTCCCTTGAAACATATGCTGTGCAGATGTTTCTTCCCTGCAGTGACTGTCTCAAGCAGCAAGGATGGACTGACTTCCAACAGCTACATTGGAATTAGCCCTTTTTAGCCTTCTCAAAAGAAGCTCTCTTTCTCTTAGACCTTGCTATTTATCCCTTTGCTGTGTTTTCCAGGAAGAGCATTAATTGCTCTTCTGAGAGCACTATTACACTGTGTCATCTCAAATTGTCATGTCATAGGAATTGGTTAAATCCATAACCCCCCAAAAAATCATTAAGCAAGACAAGATCAAAATGCTTCCCCTTTGAAAGGGAGAGAACATGCAGTTTCATTTAAGAAATAATTAGGTTACACATATAGAGATTTTGATGTGGAACAAAAAGATATATGAAGGAAACCCTGATTATCATATTAAAGTTGGTGATACGGTCACGTGCATACATTTAGAGAGGAAGCTGGGCAACTCAGATAAGTAGCATGCATGTCTGGGTGGCAAAATGGCCATAATAAGGTTATAAGCACAATTGGGGTATTTTCCCTTGCTTAATTAATATGTTGATCCATCTGAAATACAAAGAAATTGAGCAATGAATAGACAAAATAGAGATGGTAGATAATTTTTATTTATGTAAATAGTGATATTTCAGATTCAAAGGGCATTATTTCCATTACACACTGCAAAATTTTTCTTTTTACCTACTTTTAAATTAAGAAAATGCACCTTTGTTCCAAACTTTGATGCTCAGCAGTACTTCTCTTGTCCAGAGTTTATATGCAGCACTGTTTTCTCCATCTAACGCAGTATCCGTAATCATACTCATCATCATCACAAAATGTTTTACAGAATCCTCTCACTCTTTCGCATCTCTCAATTCTATATTTCGGTTTTTCATCAAAGTTACTTCTGGCTGCAAAGAAAGAGAAAGACATCAGTCCAGTTTCTCATTCGGGGCTCTTCTTACTAAGGGGAGAAAAATATTCTGTCGTAAGTCGTGAGATCATGTTTGTGAGAGATGGAGATTCTGGGATGGTTGTTTTATAGCACAATATATCACTGTTTCAGAAAGTGACCAAGCCCCAAACGTTGCACTTGCACAAAATGTGTATGTCCTTACCTTATATCTCACATCAATATTGAACTTCAGCTGGCGCCTAGAGGCTCTGCCTTCTCATCTGTTTTTCTTACTTTATTAAGACCAGATTTACTTTCCCATGTTTCCATTGAGATGAGGTTTATAGTACTTTACACACATGTAATTTCATTTGCATATGTTCTCAGTTTTTTCATTATTATTATTTTTAATCCTCACCTGAGGATTCTCCCCCCCCCCCCATTGATTTTTAGAGAGAGTGGAAGAGAGAGGGAAAGACAGAGAGAAACATCAATGTGAGAGAAACACATTAATCACTTGCCTCCTGCAAGGCCCTGACCATGGCCTGGGCTGGGGAGGAGCCTGCAACCAAGGTACGTGCCTTTGACCAGAATTGAACCCAGGACCCTTCGGTCCACAGGCCAATGCTCAATCCACTGAGCCAAGCCAGTGAGGGCTGTTCTCAGTTTTTTCAAACCTACTCTTATCGCCTCTTCAGAGAACCATTTGGTCAATGCTTTCTTCTCCATTCCAGATCTCACTCTAAATTGAAATATCCTTTTATTTTGCTGGAACAAATGAATATGTAGCTTTCACCAGTCTACATGTTTTAGTACTAAATTATATGTATTTTTCCTAAACATTAGTTATACTTTTATTCTTGCAGCCGAAATATAATCTCTTAAATGTTAGTTATAATTTATTCTGATTCTTTGCTATCTCCTACCCTGAATAGCCCAATAGGCATATAAAATAGAGATGGTAGATAATTTTTATTGTAACACAGTAGGCATGAAGATAGCAGATCAGAGACTAAAGCACTTTAGCTATAAGCATATAAACTCAGTTGTGCTATACATTAAGCACTTAATAAAAAGAGGATCCCCAATTTAGTCCAGTTTGTTGTGAATCATCTAAGAAATGCAAAGAAGGATGTTCTGAGATTCCAAACTCACATCTTTGTGTTTATGCATTAAACCAGGGGTCCTCAAACTTTTTAAACAGGGGGCCAGTTCACTGTCCTCAGACGTAGAGGCGGACTATAGTTTAAAAAAAAAAAACTATGAGCAAATTCCTATGCACACTGCACATATCTTATTTTGAAGTAAAAAAACAAAACGGGAACAAATACAATATTTGTATTTGCATGTGGCCCACGGGCCATAGTTTGAGGACCCTGCATTAAACTGTAGTAAAAGGAAGTAAATATTTTTGTTACTTTAAGATTTTATTTCTCTTAATGATTCAATTATGACCAATGCCTTTAAATAAAGATACTTGGGAGTCAGAATTATTTATTTCCCCCCAAATTTTATCATAGTACTTACTTATCTTAAATAAGTCATTCTGTCTATCGGGCAGAATATACATAACCAAAATATATTTTGAACAAACATAGCCAACCCAAATATATTTTGAATATTAAATTCTGCATATGTCAGAAAAATAAAGAAAACATTTTCATTAAAATACGGAGAATGAATTACATTGAATTTAGATTAGAAGTATATTATGTCAACTCATAGGACCTAATTGGCAGCCTAGCATCTAATTGAAATTCAGAATGGTTTCATCTTAATTTCATATGTCTGCTATTTATTTGAGTACCTAAATTTCTCCAAGCATTAGGTTGGGATCTGGACAGAAACTTCAAATGTATAGAATGTAGAGAAGATTTTAAATGTACATACTTTATTATTAACATTAATAAAGTTAGCAGAAAAGAGATGGAAGTTAAGCTTAAAGTGCAAGAAATTGTCAGATGGTTTTGACATATGAATATATGTATCTCCTTTGGGAATGGGAAACTAATTCATGATGACAGAATCCCTGGCCACTGGTGAATTTTGGTGAAAGCTAAAGTTATGTCAGAGCCTTACTTGATATAATTTAAAGTAGGGGAGAGGGTGATATATTATTTAACTAAAAAAAAAAAACTTTTGCTGGGATAAGTACTTTTTAAGCTAATTAACATTCCTAAGACCCTGATATCTTGTCAACCCACCAAATCCAGGTTGAGTTTTAAGATATGCTAAATTCAGAAAAGAGAAGAATGGATTTATAATGATTATTGGTAACATTAAAATATAATAACGTTCTTTTTATTTTCTCATTATTTCAAATGATAGAAATGTTTTAAATCATGAAGAAACCTACAGAACTATATGATCTGGAAACAAAATGTTTATGTTGCAAAATTGGTACTATCACTTCTTAGTTATTTGCAAAAATGTATAAATTTGGAATCATAACTATGTCATGTGAAAACTATAAATGTAAACAACATAACCTCAAAGTGTTTTTGTGAAGTTGGTTATGTAATGTTCTACACTGTACAATGCTATACAGATATCACCCATGAGTGCATAAGAATTTATGTATTATTTAAAACTAGTTGGCTTATATCACATGAAAACAAAAATAAGCCCTAGCCAATTTTGCTCAGTGATAACAGGTTCCATTTTGGTCAAGGGCACGTACCTTGGTTGCAGGCTTGATCCCTAGCCCAGGTCAAGGTACATGCAGGAGACAACCAATTGATTTGTCTCTCTCACATGTATGTTTCTCTCTCTGTTTCCTCCTTCTCCCTTGCACTCTTTCTAAACATCATTGGGAAAAATATCTTCTAGTGAGGATTTAAAAAAAAAAAAAGCCTGCTTGGAGGAAGGACATGTAGCATCTCTTTCACTTACTGATACTTCTGTACTTTTTGAACATCACTGGAGAAATGAGGCCTATTTTGGGACAGTAGAAGGGAAATATGTTCCAGAAAGGTTTCTGGGAGTCTGGGCAAGAATGAAGTGCTACAAATGTGGTGGAGATACACTGTGGACAGCAACCTGGAACAAGTTGGAACAAGTCCTGTAAACATATGCATAGGGACAACTCTGTTAGGAAATCAATGGTTAAAAGCTCAGTGGCCCCCATACAGGTGATTCAATGTTAGTTTTCCCAGGCCTTGTGGGGAGTTCTTTGTCCTCCCAGGAGAAATGTCTGGTATATATCTCCCCATCTGTTAGCAAATTACTTATTTGTAGATTACCTTTTTGCCCACCTCATGGTACTCCCTGCAAATAGAGGGGCAGAGTTGGATGTAGGAGGAGGTAGGTTTGGAAGACATCTACTTTTTCTGGGTCCAAGTTGAAGTCAAGGTAGGAGCAAGGCCATGGGTCAGTGAAAGTTTGTATAATTTGTCTGAATCTTACAGAATCAGATGCTAGTGGGTTTCAGTCCTGTATACTCTATTAGCTGTGATGTATTGAACAAATTATTTGGTTCACTCTAGTTCACTTTCCTTTTGAAATTGAGGTTTTTGTGAAGTTCTGAAAACTGTAATGAGAAAGAATGTAAAAGTATACAGTGTTAAAAAACTAATAAGTCTTCAAAATTAGGTGAGGGCATGAGTGGGGGGTTGGGGGGCAATGGGGAGATAGGGACACATATGTAATACCTTAATCAATAAAATAAAATAAAATAATTAGGTTATTTGCATATCCTTTATTTTTACTTCCCTTTGGGAATCCTACTTAAAACTGACCCCAGGTGAAGCATTGCTATTCAAAGTTATGACCTGCTCTAATGGAAGCACAATCCTCAAGTCTTAAAGCACTAGATAAGGCCAGTTGTCTGCCTTGTTCTCTGATCTATTTCAGCATGTAGCAAAATGCTTGAAACAACATACTCATCAAATGTGCAAATAACTGACAACGTGACCCAGTGAATGAATATGTTATCATGGATAAGAATCTAAGTGGTGTTATATACTAAAAAGCTATCTGGGCTTTATTACAGTCTCTCCATCAGTTATTCCCCATATCAACTGAGTAAATGACTTAACCCCTATACTAGCTTCTTCAACTGTAAAACCTCTTAATAATAAATGCCTATTTCAGAGGGTTGTGTGGCATCTAATGAGCTAATAAATATGGAAATAGTCTCTAGCTTACGATTAGTCAAGTAAGGTTACATTGTCATCAGTGTGAGTGATTTATAGATTTGTAGCAGATTTTTACAAATAATCCTTTACTAGCTCACTGATTTTTCTTCATTTTTACTTTGAAATGAAGAGAGTGCCTTCTCTCGTGATCTCTACAGCATGCTTTAGTAAGCAGCTGTGTTGTACTTGGCCCTGTGCTGAATACGGATGCAAAATGAATGGAATAGCTAAACGCCTTACCCTCAAAAGGCAGTCAACGTTTGTTAGGCGATGATGACATATAAATGGAAACAATATCGTATCACTTGTGAAGACAATTCTGGGATATAAATAAAGTGTCCTTGCAGCATATAATAAAGAGGTATAAACCCTTCCTGGAAAAGGCTGTTTTACTATTACTACCACTCCAGCTATTGCTACCCCTGCCATTTATTAACAGGTATGCTTTATTAAGTGTTCATTAGGCTTTAGGTTCTTTCCTAAGAAATTTATACTTATTACCTGATTTAATGATCTAACGATCGTATAAGATAGGAATAACTATTCTCAGTTCACCCATAAGAACGCCTGAAGTTAAGACTCTGCACAAGGTTTCAGAGGGAATAGAAGAGGAGGGAGGATTAACAGTTAGTCATGTTGGACTCTGAACTCCTGAGTGTTCTGTCACTTCATTGAAGATGTGACTTCTGGTTGCATCTCAAAAAGCTGATAGCATGTTTTCATGAAATTGAGGGGCAACCTAAACATCGATAGGTATTTTGAAAGAATTTGTGATTGATGAAGAATGGTGTGACTTTTAGCACGACTGAAGTGACATGGACATGGGTCTCAAAAATAAAGCAAAGTCAAATTAAGCACATATGGCAAAAGACCTATAAAGCTGAGGAGCAAAGGTCTTTCACATCCTTGGTTAAGTTTATTCCTAAATATCTTAATTTTTTTTATTGTTGTTGTAATGGTAAGTGGGGTTGTTTTTTTAGTTTCTCTTTCTGAGAGTTCATGTTTGGTGTATAAAAATGCCAGTGGTTTCTGGGTGTTAATTTTGTATCCTGCTATGTTGCCAAATACATTTTTTATGGAGTCTTTAGGGATTTCTGTGTACAATATCATGTTATCTGGGAATAATGACAGTTTTACTTCCTCCTTTCCAAGTTGGATGCCTTTTACTTTTTCTTCTAGTCTGATCACTGTGGCTAGGACTTCCAGTAGTATGCTGAATAAGAGTGGTGAAAGTGGATGTCCCTGTCATGTTCCTGTTCTTAGAACAACAGAAAAAAGAATTCAGATATTGACCCAAGCCATTACCCTCAATTAACATTTGACAAAAGAGGCAAGAGCATACAATGGAGTCAAGACAGTCTCTTAAATAAATGATATTGAGAAAATTGGACAGGCACATGCAAAATAAATAAATAAACAAAGAAACAAAGAAAGAAAGAAACTAGACCACCAACTTATACCATATACAAGAATAAACTCAAAATGGATAAAAAGCTTAAATATAAGTTGTGAAACCATAAAAATCTTGGAAGAAACCATAGGCAGCAAAATCTCAGACATCTCTCATAGCAATATGTTTGCTGATACATCTCC